ATAAAATAAATTTATACCGATCTGAAAAATAAACATGTTTCTAGACAGGACTTGAATTCTGAATAATCACAAAAGAAAAAAATGTAGTTATTTTTGTTAAGCAGAATGAGATAAAAGGACATATATTCAAAACAGATTAGATCATTTTGTACTTGGAAAATTTCTTTTCACAATTTCTTCAACACAGAAAACCTAATATAAAATTTCAGCCAGCGTTTGGAATAAAAATATGTCTATCAAGGCAAAAGTAAAAAAAGGTGTTAAGTTTCTAACACGACTTGTAATAAGTGTGTAATTCTACATAATACATAGCACATTACACAGGGAATGTGGTCATAAAACTGCAATCACATCATATTAGTAAAAATTTTTCCCCAGAAAGGAAGAGAAGGGTAGGCCTCCCTGAAACTGTAAGTTAACACTGAACGTATGAATTTAAAATTATCTTTCTACATTTCTAAGCACAAATTTTTTCTCAGCTGCAAACTGCTCCATTTCCTACTAAGCAGAAGTAGGAATAATGCTAGGACACCTTAGGTTGAAGAATACATCCATATATTAGCCAACATTTCTCAACAGCTGCTACCAAAGCCTGCAAGGTGACCCAAGAACAGGACAGGCAGCTGACCTTCAAGCTCCCCAGAGGCAGTTCTTCAACTTTTTGGTCTCAAGACACCTTAATACTCTTAAAAGTTGAAGACCCCAAAAGAGCTTTCGTTTTATGTGGAATATATCTATTGCTATTTCTAAAATCTTAACTATATATTAAAAAATATATCCATTACACATTTTTAAAAAACAGAACTATAGTTTACAATCCATTATACTTTTTTAAATGAAAAAGTAATGTTATTTCCAAAACAAACAAACAGTGTCAAGAAGGTCATTGTTTTATACTTTTGCAAATCTCTGGCTTAACACAGTGAGATTCTCCCATCCGCCGCTGCATTCAACCTCGTCCCACATATTGTTTTGGCTGAAATACATGAAGAAAACCCTGCCTGACACAGATGAACCATTTAGAAAATGGCAGTATTTTAACAATCTTTTCACATAATTGTGGATGTTCTCGGACATTACACCGAATCTCAGCAAGCAGTACGTTTCATAAAAGTCCTATCAATGAACTTTTCACTTTTTTACATTAAAATTCACTGGTCTGTGCTGCACTTTGAATGCATCTTTTACCCATGCATATGCCGGTCATGTGGAAAACACCAGTTCACTGAGTTCAGGCAGAGATTCCAAATGTCAACACATTTCGTTAGACCACACAGAAGAAACACATTTGTGTACGTCAGCTCCCATCTCCTCAGAAGTCATTACTGGGAAGCCATCAAGCTCACGATGGTAGACTCAACTTTTCCAAAATTCTAATTTTCCCTCCAAAGCTAGAATCTTATTCTTAGTAACAAATACTGTCAGCTGCTTTCCTTGAGACTCATATAATTCACTTTGGAGAAAATATCTGCCAAACACCGAGTCTGCAAACTGTCATCCGTCTGCCGTTCTGTCAAGGACGGACAGTGTGCCCTGAGAAGGTGGCTGGCCTGGCTCCCAGCTCAGCCCACGGGCTCTGCCCAGAGACGGCTACTCCACGCGGCAGCAGCAGGGTTGCTCCACGTGCACTTGGCATTTCATCACAGGCAAAGTTAAAAAGATGTTTATTTGAGGGTTGCGATAATAAAATTAATAATACGTGCTGCTTCGTAAGGACACTCTTAGGGAAGCTGGTATATTTTAAACATGCAGTGCCCACGGTGAAGGGCACAAAGTTCCAGCGCTTCAATCTGCCTTTGCTCCAATGGTACGAGAGTCAAATTTGGGAGAAAAGGCTCATAACGTTTGACTATTACTGTGGGAATAGTTTTGACCCCTTACCTCAGAAAAGGTATCTGGACTATCTCCCATGGGTCCAAGGAAGATACTTAGAGAACTTTCATAACATGCCATTTCTACTAGTTTAAGAACACACCAGATATGTGCAAAGCAATAATACATACCCATGCTTCAGATAAGAGACTTTAAGCATTTCCTTCCACAAACATATTCTGTAATAAACTCTCTATTTTCCCTTTGGATCCCCTGACTCATCAAAATGTTACACTGCCAGCAGTGAATTTCTTTAAAATGCAATTTTAAAAAACCAGCCTGAGCAATATATAGTAGAACCCGATTTCTTAAAAAAAAAAAAAAAAAAAAAAAGCCACCTGGTGTGCACCTGAGGTGGGAGGATCCCTTGAGCCCAGTAGTTTGAGGCTGCAGTGAGCCATGATCGTGCTGTGCCCACTGCATTCCAGCCTGGGCAACAGAGTGAGACCCCATCTCTTTTTCTCCCTCCCCCGCCAAGACCCCATCTCTTAAAAAAGAAAAAAAATTAGTGTTACTTAAAAGAAACTCAGCTATAAATTGTAAATCTGAATGCTCAACTTGTACTATTCTAAAATCTGCTTAAATAACTGAAGCATGCCCAGTTAAAGATTTTCAGTTTCACAAACTTAAGAGACTAATTTCTCAGTAATTAATCTCTAAGACACTTTAAAATACGATGTACAACCATACCAGGTTCCAATTTTAGGAACATGGCACTCCTAGGAAAACAGCTGACTTCTAATGAAAACGGTAACGTGAAAAAGGTACTGCTGCCACCGCTGGCTCACACCTGCAGTCCCAGCACTCTGGGAGGCCGAGGTGGGAGGATTGAGGCAGGAGGATCACTTGAGGTCAGAAGCTAGAGACCAGCCTGAGCAAGCATGTGCTTGCCAGGCCTGGCAGCATGTGCCTGTAGTCCCACCTACAACAAAGGCTGGGCTGAGGCAGGAGGATGTTTGAATCCAGGAGTTTGAGGTTGCTGTCAGCTAGGCTGACGCCTCGGACTAGCCTGGACGACAGTGAGACTCAGTCTCAAAAAAAAAAAAAAAAAAAAAAGGTAATGTGCAAACACATATTTTGCCCCACCTGGTAGCAAAATGTTGTGTTTCTTCAAACCTCACTTTTCCCCAAAATAGTATTCAAAAGTAACACTTTTAATTTTGAAACAATTCTCACCTGTCAGAAATTGTATCTAATGCTACAATAAAATCTCATTATTTTGGACTTTGCTAACTCAGAATTTTTGTTAATTCTGAAAGGCTAAGCCAAAGTTCACATTTATTTATATTTTGTCTATTAAGAGTCTCCCATCTTAGCAATCCTTTTCTAACGTGGAGGAGGAGGGGCAGAAAAGATGCTGGCTAAAAGTCCTTTAAACTACCAAAAATTATAGATTACCCATTACAAGTCTTTTACACCTAGGTTTTCATAAAGCGCAAAGTCACTAACGAGAGTACACCGAGCAGTTTCAGACAACATCCCTGCCACCAGCTGTCCTGT